GGGGGGGTTAAGATTCTTGGGGTAGGGATTCCTTTATTAATATGAACCCTATCATGGGAACCCTAATCCCTACTAAAACCCCATAAGCTCCTTATAGATCCCTTATAGTACCCTTATAGTAGTCCTTCTAGGAACCCTTTAAAGGGAACCCCCTTTTGGCCTTCTATGACTTCCTAGCCCAGCGCCCTGCTTTGCGCTGAAATGCCGAGCGGCGCAATGGTCGCCGTAAGTCGGGCCCACATTCGCGATTCCCATTTCACCGAACCTTAGTAGGCCAGGGGCACAGAGTTCAGAGTTTGGGAAAAAGGGTTTAAGGTTGGCCCCATCCGGCCCATTCTGTGTATGGAGCGTGGGCTTTGCAAGCCTCTACCGCACAAAACTATAATTGTCTTCATTCACCTCCGCAACAGCTCAGGTCCTAGGTATCTCTCCGAACATGACAGACAATGCACCCCTGACAAAAACCCTGCATCCTCCATCCCAAAGCCTAAATACGAATCCCTGGAAAGCCTAGACCCTAGAACCCCAAAGCCCTGAAAAACCGCAACGACCTAAATCCTGAGCCCTCAAACTTTACAGCCCAGCCTTAAACCCTAAAACACCTAATGCCCTAAATCCTAAACCCTGAAACCCCTAAATCCTAAAACCCTGAAATCCTAAAACCCCGGAGCCCCAAATCCAAACCCAAAAGCCTTGATAGCTGCTCCCGGCCCCCCACTACAGAGGCGAGGAGCGCGCTGCCTGGAACATAGGAGCCCATACCTCTAGAAGAAGCTTTTTCGGGTGTAGGGTTTCGGTTTAGGCCGTTAAGGAGTAGTTGGGGCCTCTAGAAAAATTAGGGCTTTTTCGGGTGTAGGGTTTCGGTTCAGGATTTTGAGGAGTAATTGGGGCAACAGGACCTCAGGAGTTTAAGGGGATAACTACGTAGGGTTTAGGGTTTGGGCTTGATAGAATTGGTTAAGGGTTGCGGTTTCCTTTCTAAATCTTCTGACAGAGAATGGTTCTGCAGCATGCGCTCCGAACAAAAAGTTAAAAAAGAACATCTGGTGTTAGCCTGACCGTCGATACCAAATCCCCTGGAGTAATTGCCAAGGTGGCGCCTAAGGGTTTGTGCGAAAAAAATGCGAGCGCAACGTTTTGAGCGTTTGGCTTGAGCGAAGGTTTGGTAAGTGGGTTCTAAGTCCCCGAATATGTGTTACAAGTATAGCTACCCTAAGTATAAGCCTACTTGTAGCTACCCATGAACCTCCAAGTACTCTCTGCCCCCGACCCTTCATCCCAGGCTAGCATTTCAAGGCAAGTTAAGGGGCTTCGAGTTGCCAGATGTCGAATACAGGGGCCATAATAATTACGCTACAGGTATAATAAGGAGCCCCCAAAGTAGTGTTGGTATTTGTTTAGGCCTTTTTTAATCTCCAGGCCGCCTTTAGGGTTTGGGGATTAGGGCTTTAGGGTTTTAGGTTTTAGGGTTTAGGCTTCAGGGGTTCAAGGATCTCGTCGCAGATTCAAGCTTCAGAGCTCGGAAGCTTCACGCATGGCAGGGGCCGCTGGGGGGTTTAGGATAACAAAACCTCTCCTCTCCTCTTTTCGCGCTCACCGATATTCTGGCTAACCTCGTCCCTTGGAGTAGTCCTTCTTCAGGTTACGGCTGCCATGAAGGTTCACAGTACTCCTCCTAAACCCTAGACCCTGCTAGTCGTCCTAATCCTAAAACCTCCTAAACCCGTGAACCCCGAAACCCCTGAACCCGGAAACACTAACCCTAACATAGAACCTTAAACCAAAAATCTGCTCAGCCAAAGGACAATCGAAGTCGCAATTCATCGAGGAAGGGTAAGCAGCTGCCTGCCAGGTGGTGCTGAACAGCACCCTCAGCTCCGCACTCAAACCCTAAAGCCTGACCATGAGCTTCTGAGCCGATCCCATGCGAGCTTCGAACGCGCTGTTTCGATCACCCGCCTCAATCCCACATCCACGGCCCTGAGTTCTGATTCCTGGCGCCCCACGCTCGAACCGCCCGAGCATCGGCCCTTCCGAAACAAATGCTTCGATCCCCAGGTCTTAGCACCTCTGCATTAAGAGAAGCCCAAGCTCCTGTTACAGGCAGCGGTTCTGGTGACAGGTTGAAAAGCATCGGTACTACCTTAAGGCTCCAGAGTAGTTCCTTTTTGGGCTTCATATGTAGAATCCTATAAGGTAATCCCAACAAGGAACTACTATGGAGCCTTAAGGTAGTGCGGTGAAGTCAGAATGGTAACAGCTTGGCAGAGTCAAGCAACACGGGACATTCTGGCAACCAGCGGTGACATTGCACTCTTGCGAAAGACAAACAGCAGGTGTTCGCAGACCAGCAGTGTATACAGCGGTAGCAGCAGTAGCAGCAGGAGGCAGGAGGTGTAGGAGGAGGAGCAGCAGCAGCAGCAGGTAGGAGCACGAGCAGCAGCAACAGCAGCAGCAGCAAAATTTCAAAAGTACTAGAACCTGGAATCAAACTAGTGAGTTGATAGTCGTCGCCGTACCCGTTCCCATGCCCATACTCATGCCCATACCCATACTCACGGCCATACCAGAAGAACAAGAACAAGAATAAGGCCAGGGGCACCTTCAAGGCCATGACATTTGCCAGCATCCGGAACATGGTTGCCGATAGGCGGAGGTGCGGACGGTGAACAGGAAACTTCTAGGGTGGCAGATTGAGCCGGCAACAGCTGATGAGTCTGGCTCGCAGTGCTTGCTTCTCATGTGCAAACCCTGAAGTCTGTCAGTGGCCTAGCAGAATGGACGTGTCGCTCCAAATCTAAATGCCGTGTCAAAACTTGCACGAAGCAGCCATACATCTAAGAAAAACCCGAAAGTCTGGAAGCTTTGAAAAGGCTGACAAATCCCTGCCCTTGTCCCTGAACCTTGAAGCCTCCTGTCCCATAGCCTCAAAAGGCTGCGACCCAAACCCCAAATCCTTTCTGTGAACGCTAGGCAGCTGGGTTTAGGGCGTGGGTCTTGGTTTAAGGGCTCAGGGTTAAGCACTTTTTTTTTGAGCTCCTTTTTACGTCTGCAACATCCGTGTCGCCTACGCAAGACCCAGAGGCCAGGAGAAGGGTGACCGCTCAGCGTAACCCCGTGGAGTGTGCCCTTACCGCACTGCACCAAGAAAGAAAACACGAGGTCACCATGTGGAGTTGGCGGTGGGCCCAGGTCGCAGCCGGTCCATAGTTTCTGCCGTCCACAAAGACCCCGATCGAGGGCACAAGCCATCCGACCATAAGACCACGTCGATGGAAGTCATGGATGTCCTGCACGACCCCTTCAGCCCACGATCGTGGAGGCGGTAGCCCAAGAGTTGAGGGTCTCGGCACATCCGCTGCATCAGCAATGAGCCGATTGAAGGTCACCAAGTGCGGCTCTGCTTCAGATGTAGTCGGCAGTGGGTGATCCGGCGGGGCGCCGGCCCTGACCTGAGCATCATTGGAGGACGTAGTGCGGGTAGGTCACCGTCAGGTACTCCACGCGCAGGTTGTGCTCGGCGTAGCGGACCCAATCGCCGACCCTCGCTTGCGAGACGGAGCCCCAAAGCTCAAGGTGACAATCTGCCTGCATGCCAGGAGCGGTCGGGTCAGGAACTTGGATATGCGGGGCAAGGTTGCCGGCGATGTCCTGAACAATGGGTGTCGCGAAGGCAGTGTAGGCCGGGGCCCCTCTTCCACTGATGGCCTGGATCAAAGCAAGGAGGAGCTGGTTCCCATGCGATCCGTCCCGGATCAGGGCGTTGCCCTGGTTGACAACATCCAAGTACCAGCGCGGTGGCCATGATCCAAAGACCTCCGATGTCTGTCCCGATGCCATGGGAAGGATCACAGACGTGGTCATCATGTAGTGTCGAGTAGTGTCGAGAGGGACTGGCTGCATCAGCCCGCTCCACGGACATAGCAGCCCATATCGAATTGACAAGGTTGAGGCCATTCACATCCCAAAGGAGAGGTAGGCCAAGAAGAACGCACAGGAACAGATTCATGTTCCTGAGCATCGTCCGCTTACCCTGCGCCTATAAAAGCACCTTGGTGCATAAGGCCATCAGCCGCTCATCAGCCATCCGATCGATCATGATCTCGTCTTCCTGCTCAGCATAACCATCCGCATCAGCATATGCCGGAGGCTCTCGATAAGCTCCGCTTGGCCGAGTGGCTGGATACCTGGTCCTGCAGCGCTGCCCGCAGCAGTAGTTCCTGGTCCTGCAGCGCTGCCCGCAGCAGTAGTTCCTGGTCCTGCAGCGCTGCCCGCAGCAGTAGTTCCTGGTCCTGCAGCGCTGCCCGCAGCAGTAGTTCCTGGTCCTGCAGCGCTGCCCGCAGCAGTAGTTCCTGGTCCTGCAGCGCTGCCCGCAGCAGTAGTTCCTGGTCCTGCAAGCAGCAGTGGGGTCGGCTCCTGCACGTGCTGAAGCCGAGCCCGACCCGGCCACGCGTCCAGCAGGGCTTATCACATATGTCATGCGCCGGCCACCACGAGCGCCGAGCAACAGCGAGAGAAGAAGGGTCCGAGGGCATTGCCATTCAAGCGCATTGGTTTCTAGGACTACAGTAACTGCAGGTTCACTCGAAAGGGTCGGGGCAACACTTTTAAAAAACATCGCGAGATATAGTCACAGGGTTAAGCACTTTAGGGTTTAGGGTTCAGGACTTAAGGTTTAGCATCAGGCGTCTTTCGAGCTTCAATCCTGGTTTGGGGTGTGCCAACCGCAGGGGCTCGAACCGAACTGTCCCCCAAAGAGGCATTGGTATCCGGACTGTATAATTACTGGGTTCAAGTTTTCAGGTTTGAGGGTTTGAGAAGGTGACCGCCTCTATGACACGATAGTTGTAACAGAGACTAGACGGGAACGATATTGTTACGAACTTAAGCTCCTATGAAAAGCCCTACACCCTAAACCAGTGTACCATTATGTACCCCAAACCCAATTCGAATTATCGGGCCTCCTTTGTTCAGTCTGCCTCTGTTGCACACCAAGAGGCATCACCACCAGGTCTGAGTCCTTCACGAATTCATTGGTTGTTGCTCACAAAGAACCCAACGCCCCTTAAATATGGAATAAACGGTAAACCTTACTATAGTGAGGAGTATACGATGAATCATGCGTATTTCTGATTATACCGCTACATCGTGAGATTTAGGAGTCCCGGTAAGTTAAGGCACATATTCCTTTATTGAATTGGAGCCCGGGAGCTTACAGCGGCTCTCCACGACTATCATAAAGGTGATACAAACAAACTCTCATCCATAAAACCAAAATTTCCAAAACCTAGCGGACCGTCATACAGTACCCTAAATAGTAGGATCCTTATTATAAAAAACCCACAATAAAGTACCCCTAATTTTCGGAAACTCGTAAATCCTAAACCCTAAATCCCCAGAGGCTTAAGACTGCCTAAAGTAAAGGCCCATGAGCCCCTTGCCATTCAACGTCCGACAGCAATGTCCACAACCCCGGGCTCTGGGGCAACAGCAGCCTTCGTATACTTACGACCCCAATATGCCACAGAAAGAAAAGGTTAAACTTTCCGATTCCTACTCAACTATAAGAACCCAAGAAGTTTAAAGGTTAGGTATTGGAGATCTAAGTATATTTTGGACAGGAGTTCCAAGTCGGCTCTTAATTAGAGGGTTTGGGCGGGTTTTGGAAGACTTCTTGCCGCTACGCTTCCAACTACATGAACTCCGGATAGCCTCAACTGCTAAATAATGTCCAATTACAGGTGGAATCCTGAAAGACTGCAGGTTGCCCAACGAACTCAGACACGTAGTACTCAAAGGCCAACATTGCCCACAAAAAGCCAGAAAGTCCCTCTAAATGGAAAAAAGCCATGCGCGCTGGTATTCCCGACCTTCGTAATACTACAGTTTATTTGGCGATGGAAGAAAAATATGCTGATCCTGAATCATTGAAGGCTGGGGAAGGCACTTAGCATTAAGAAGCCAGGAAGATGCCAAGATCAGAAATTTACATGGCGAAAATCGCGATCCAGCTTCAAAAACCGGAAGGGCTGGGAAACCGCCAAAACCGCGACGCAGAACCAAAATTGCCGGTTGTCCAGATATTTGGAGGACCGGAACGACCAAAATTCTGGAAATTTGAAGGGCTGGGAGAGCCCAGGCAAAATGGCAAAATCCAGAAGAATGCACACAGCACAAAGCCGAGCTTCAAGACGAGTTTAGGGTTTAGGGCACAAAGAAGAAACAGAACAAAAACTCCTATGTGGCCTGCCTCTTCAGCATCTTGCAGGCATCGCCTGCCGTTGATGAAGGTTGGGGGTCTTCCAGCCGTGGATGACAGGCAGCGGCTTTTCCTGAATTCAGATTGCGTCCGTGTTCTGGGGCGTACAGAACATGAACAAGAATTGCAGCTCGTCGTGGTTCCCCCCGCTGAGCAGTGTCCAAATCACGGCTCGCTCCATTTCAGGGCAAGCCGAAGTGTAGTTCACCCAAACAAACCTTCAGGAGAGTCTTGACGTGCTGATGAAGTTGAGTCGAAGCCAGGCGTGCCAACTCGACGGCCCCCGCCCTCGGTCGTCGCCCTGGCATAGGCACACCCGAAGACGCCAATCCTGGCCACCTTTAAAGGAAGATAAAGGCTTAGGGTTTAGGGAACACAGCCCAGATCCGCTTTCCACAAGCTTGCGAAATGTCCCACGCTCGAAGTAACGAGGGCACACAGACGAGGAGTCCAACAACCTACTGGCCCACCACACCGTTACAACCCTTATGCCACCCCGTACAATCTAAGCCCCTCCTACGCCCTCGAAACCCCGAACGCAGAGCACTTGAATCCCTTGACAGAGCCTTGAAAAGAATCCTTAAAGGAACCCTGAAACCTACAAGCTTCATATCCTCATAGAACCCTGAAAACCCACAAGGCCCCTTCAGGAACCCTCATAGATTGCTTGTCACCCTAAAGGGAACTCCAGAAAGTTGGAATATGGTTTCAGGGTAGGATACCTTACAATTTACCATAAAGGGTTTAGGATAATCATATTCCAACTTTCTGGCTTTTACCTTATAAAGAAAGCCTAAACCAGCCCCCCTACACTTGGCCTGCTGCTGCAGCTATGGAAATCAGAGAGCCCAGCACCACGTCGTCGAGGGCAGGTGATACTCCCTGATTGTTTAGGGATTAGGGTTCAGGGAGTAAGGGTTTAGGGTTTAACTACAGCTGCTCCTACTCCGACTCCTATGCTACGGCTACAGCTAGTGGTGCTTTCGCGGCTGCTGGCGACTGCTTTTGCGACTGCTTCTGCTTCCGCTACTGCTCCTGCTATTGCTACTGCTACTTTGGAAGAGCACGACGATGACCATTACGACTGCAACTTTATATGCATGCAACACTCACTGCTCGTTACCGAAATCAAGAACATGGTCGGATCCAGGATCGCCTTGGCCCCGCTTCCTCTCCACAGTCAACAACACCACAGCCAACTTCAGCCCACATGACAATGGGATTTCATTTTCACGCTTTATCATTTACCACTCAGCATTGGTGAAGTTGCCTCCCCAAGGCATCGGCGAAGAAGAGTTTCTGCAGCTGCCTGCACGAAGCCATATGCGCTTCGGGCTATAGAACCCCATAATGAGACTTCGGGCTTGGTTGCTTACGGGGGTGTGGGGCTTGTGAATTAAGGTTTCATTGCCTGGGCTTGGTTCTGCGGGCCTCGGATGTCGAAAGACATCGGCGGCGTAACTAGGGCCTGGGGTTTGGAAAGCTTTGGGCCTTGTGATGTCTTGTGCTGTGGAAATTCATGGTGAATGGCTGATGTCACGGACAGTTTGCATGGTGTCTTGTCGCGGGTCCGGGATTTAGGCCTAAACCCTAAACCCTAAACACCGTTCTGGCTGGATATGCTGAACCACAGTGTTTGTTGTCGGAAGGACGCACACGAGCTTGCGAGATCAGGAACCCCAAACCGTTAAACCCTAAACCCTAATCAATCATCCGGAAAAACAGGGTCTGCTGTATCCCAAGGCCTCTCGTAGAGCAGTGCAGCACAATTTCAGCCCGAAGTCATGCAGAGTTCGAAGGTTTGGGTTTAGGAGTGTAAAGTTTAAGGTTTCGAGTTTAGGGTTTAGGGTCTACGGCTTCTTTTAAGTGTAATGGCCCTTTCTGCTCCGCATGACGAGACAGGGTGAGCCGCTTACACTACATGAAAAGAGCAGCCCATCTCAGTTGCCACCACCGAACCGGTTCATGAATCACGATTGCGACTTCTCTCACGGACACGAGCCACCCTGCGACGAACATCACTGCGACGACGTGTATCAAGACCTCCAGCAGATCCAGGCCAACGACCTACGGTTTAGGGTTACGGGAGCCTACTATAGCTTCCCTGAAGGCTCATGGTCCCTGAACTGGCAATGCAAAACGTCTAAGTCAGAAATCCCTAAACTTGTCAACCCTAAACCCGAAACCTGTAATTCGAACCCTAAGCAGAGGAACCCAAAACCCCAAAGCCAAACCCCGAGATCGTGTAGAACCCTGTCTGAAATCCATCTTGATCCCCTTCTAGACTCCGTCCTTGCTCGAAGCCTTCTAGAAGCCATATTGATCCCTCGGATGTGGCATCAGGGCTTAGGGGATGAGGTTGCGTCTTTTGGGCTGGGGCGATAAAGTCTGAAAAAGGGTCAGGGAGTAGGGATTCAAGGTTTAGGGCTCTGCGAAGCGTCCCTTACAAAAGACCTCAAGCACGAAACCCTAAACCATTACAAAAGACCGTTACACAAGACCTCAAGCCCTAAATCCTTACAGAAGACCTCCAGGTTACTTGAGCCACCTCGTCGGGAGGAACTTGCCGAGCCAGAAGACCGCAGTCGCGCCTTAGAGGTCCCATCATGAACAACGAGGACCCAGAGGGCCCATATATACGACTATTATGGAATTAGGTCCCCCAAAACCATTCTTGGGATGGTCTTTTGGGGCCTAATTCCATAATGGTAGTGCATGTGGACCCTCTCGAGGAGTGATGGTTTGAGCTAGGATAATCAGGGAGCGGGGCGGCGAGCATTTGCTTCTGATGCTGAGTGCTACAATAAGCATTGAATGGTGGTTGATGTAGCGGTCATCCTTGCATTGCAAACTCTGGACACTAGCTGTGACTTTCCAGGATACGGACTGGCTCATTAGGCGCTTGCATGGACAACATCTATGACTGTTCGGAATTTAGGTGTACTGTCTCGTCAAGAAAGACTCTGAATTTGAATTCTTGGTTGGTAAGGCCTCCTTGCTATAGCCCCAACACCCTGACACCCAAAAGCCATGCTTCATGCATAAATCCAGGCGCAGGAAGCTGCGTGAGGTTACCGCCAGTGGAGCCAACAAGGCCCACATCTCGCCGCGATGCTGTGTCAGCTCCTGAGGCAGCACATGGAGTCCGGCCGCACCACGACAGCAATCATATGATTGACAATTTGTGAGTTCTCCTCTTGCTTTTGCGGTTATGACTGTTTTTGTCAGTCTTCTTGTTGCACGGTGGCCTCTTGGCTAATGTCGCATGGCACTCACGGCTCCGGCTGCAGGTAACACACCTTCATGTTGCTCCTCGACAAACAATCTTCTCGCTGCTTATATACTCTTCCATAAGCAGCCACGTATACTCTTCCAGAAGCAGCCCCTTGCACCCACAAGAAAACAACAGGGTTCATGAATAACCCTCAGTTTATATAAACGATGAACGACGAGAGCAAGAGTCCTAAGGAGAACCCAGAAGCAGCTCTCATGGCTGGCAGGGAACCTGAAGAAGATAAGATCAGCGTAGTCTCGGGGAAGACGGACCTCACATGGTCGAGCCTTTTTCGGAGCACGACCTACAAGTATGCCACCCCAAGAAGCCCCTCGGCCCATGAGCCTTAAAGCCACGGAGATCCAAAAGCCCTAAAACGCTGAACCCCTCAACCCTTAGCTAACCGAACCACAAGTCCCTAGTAACCTTAAACCTTAAACCCTCTCCTTTCCTGTCCTGCTGCCACAATGCGACACCCTCCGCCAGTGAGGCCAGGAAGGGACCTCTCGTCGAATCTTCTTCAGGATTTGGGTTTCAGCTGTTTCGGCTCCAAAATCCCGCCCTCTTGTTTCTGAAACCTATCAAGTCTTGTGGCTGGGTAACCGGGTTAGGCCCTAAACCCGCAAGCTTCAAGCTAGGAACACTTCACCTGAAAGCTGGAAATCAGGACCACGGGATAGAAGCCTGCACATTTAGACTCGCGATCTGGCAGGTTCCTTCGGGTTAAGTTCAGGGCTTCGGCTTTTGGCTAGGGGTTTAGGCTTTAGGGTTTGGAGTTCCTTCTTCGAAAACTATCCGGGATTAGACTTTAGTTGTTCGAGAGTTTCTCTTCCTCAAGTCCCTCCTGGAAAGATGCTCTGCAAGCCCCTGAAACCTCCTCAGAGCACCTGAAAACCCCCAAGTCACCCCAAAACCCTAAACCCTAAACCATCACACACCCCAACAAAAACAAAGGAATGCACAGAAAGCCATGAACAACGAAAAAGCAGAGAACACCAAGGGCACACCCTCCGTCCGACCCAGCCTTACAAAACCCCTGGACCCTAAACACTCAACCCCCAGACCCTAAACCCCAAAGCCACAAACCCTAAACCCTAAACCCTGAACCCCAAACCTAAACCCTAAACCCCAAAGCCACAATGCCACAAACCCTAAACCCCAAACCCCAAACCCTAAACCCCTAAACCCCAAAGCCACAAACCCTAAACCCTAAGCCCTAAACCCTAAGCCCTAAACCCCTAAACCCCAAAGCCACAAACCCTAAACCTTAACCCTAAACCCCAAACCCCTGAACCCCAAGCCCTAAACCCCAAACCCCTAAACCCCAAAGCCTAAACCCGAAACCCTAAACCCTAAAACCTAAACCCAGACTTTCAAGCGACTCCAGGCGTCGAAGATGCCGCAGCTCGCAGTCTCCTGCAGGAGTCGTTTCCGGTTTTAGGGTTTCCGGGCGTAATTGATGGGAGGCCAAAAGGGGGGTTTAAGATTCTTGGGGTAGGGATTCCTTAATATGAACCTTATTATGGGAACCCTAATCCCTACTAAACCCCCATAGGCTAAAACCCCTTTTGGCCTCCTATGAGTCATGTAGGGGCCTAAATAATTAGAATAAGGTTTTGGGTTCCTTTTCAATAGCATAGCTATAAAAAGGAAGCCTACTGTATCAATAGTGTTGGTAATTACAAAGATTCCGTTAGAATCAGTTTTAGCCGTGCTTATTGAAGCAATCAAGACAAAGGAAACCCCAACTCACAAGGGCACCTTTTTTATCTTGAGCCAAATGTTGTAGTTAGCATGCACATCTGTACAAGTGCATGCCATCCTACCGTGTGTCCCTGGTGATTTCTGCTCCCCCCTTAGGCGAGTCACCATCGGTTAAGAGCCTACTTTACAGATCACCAGTTTGCAAAGTGTAGCTGTATTGCTACGGCTACAAGGTGGCGATGGATTTGCATGCTCCCGTGTATTTCGGGGCGCCTTGGGAGTCTGTACAAAAGCATCGCTGTTTGACAGCCCTACAGTCACAATGAAAGTTTACAAGGGACCTAAGACCTACATAAATTCACCCAGGAATCGGGCTCTTCTGATTCCAGCAACGCGAACATCGGAGCACATCATCCCAATGGTCAAAGTGCTCACGAAGCTCCAGCGGTGCTTCTGTGCTTGGGTGCTGACATGCAACCACTTAGGGGAAAAATCACCTATCCTGGCGCGTCACCGCTGCACAGGTTGGGCGGCTGGGTTGATGCCAAGCATTCGCAGAGCTGGCAACCATTTAGGCCCTGGAAGGCTTTTGGTGAACACATCTGCTGCTTGAGCATCGGTCCTGACATGCTCCAACACTGTGTCGGCCTCACGGAAAGCATCATAAAGACCGTTTAGGTCGATTTTATGAGTTTTGCTCACGTGTCGTAGGCGCGGGGAGTAGCCATTACGGATGACCTGTATGGTCGCAGTATTGTCTTGCTTGCAACGCAATAAGACACTGCGCCCCAGAATTCGCGAGAGGAACTCTTGGTTTGGGAGACCCTCGTCAAACAGACCTGTAGCTAAGCTAATTGCTTCGGCTTCTGTCGTGCTTCTGCTTACAGCAGTCTGACGTTTCGAAAGCCAACTGATCGGAAACCAACTCCGTGGCCCTTGCACTGCCAACAGCCCCCCTGATGTGCTATACCCGTGCTCTATTGAACCTCCATGATCCGCATCGGTGTAGAGGACCAGTTCAAGCTTATCGGTAGGATCCCCTATGTAGCTTCTCATCCGGTAGCTTTTACTAGAGGATATGTAGCACATTAGCCTGTACAATTTGCGGTCGTCGTTGGACGACCAGCGCGTTATGCGTCGGCTCAACTCCGTAATTGGACGGAGGAGGTCAGGGCGTGACAAGCGGGCAAGCCAAAGGCACTTCATGAGTACCTTGGCGGCGTGTTCTGATAGAGCTCCTTTTACTTGCCAACCCTGTTCAGGGAGCGCGGAGTCTACCAGAAAAGGCGTGGGGGCATGCTTTAAGGCGATGCCTCCTGCGAGCTTCAGGTACGTTTCACAAGCAGACTCTGCAAAGTCGCTCATGTCGTACTCTACTGAAGTCTCTGCGAGGCTCCTGTTTACAAGATGCTCCCTACCTAATACCCTTGAAACCGGAGTGGGGTCCTCGATGTTTAACATCGTCTTCATTTTGTTCCAAAACCCTTTGTGCTGATCACTTGGTCCGCTGACAATCATGTCGTCAACGTACAAGGTTAGGAGTAGTCGTTCTTTTGCAAACCAGAAGGAGCTTGGATGCGTGGACGATTCAACCCCTCCTAGGGCCTTTGCGACAGAAGCAAATTTCCTCGCCCAGTGCCCTCCCGATTCGGGGTGCCCGTACAAGCTTTTGTACAGTCTTACACATGGACGGTGGATGTGTGCGAACTGCGGCGGCACTAGTTCTGGCGGAAGCTCAACGAAAGTGGGATGCTGAGTTTGGAGCCAACTTTGAACATAGGCTTTGATCACGTCTGACTGGGTTGTCATGTGATCTTTAAGGCACCCGTACATGAGATTCAAGTTTACACCGCTGATTGCAGTGGGCGTAACTCGGATCTCTTGGAAGATGGCGTACTCTCCACATTCGTCTCTCACATTGTCTCCACGAAACACTATTCTGGCTTTCAGTTTCTTCAAGTCAGGATTTTCCGCATGTTTCCAAGACATGATTGTCATCAACTGTCCTATGTGTATTTTCTTTCCGCTTTCTCTAGCTTCTGCAACAAGTTCACTTCGAGGAATCACTTCGTCGTAATTCCAAGTCCCTTCTGCTATCAATCCTTCGGCCTCCTTCTTAGCCTCTGCTAGCGCAGCTGGATCTTTGATCCATTCTCGGCGCTCAATGAGTTGATGGATTGCGCTAAACACGTGAGGCATCGGTACCTCTTTGTTGACATGTTCATGCTGGACAAAGGTGTGACAAGGCATGGCCGGAACTGACGCGTGGAACTTGTCCGGAAACAAATGCTGCATAACAAGCGAACACATGGGCAGTGGATATCGCGCGGAGCTTGCAATGCGAGACTCAAGATCGGAGATATGATGACTTGTCTTGTCACTCATACTTCTCTTGAGGTTGATGGCTTCGGCAAGTCTTTTGCAGGACGTGGCGATCGTCCACGACCTTTTGCCGGTTGATCCAAAGGCATTCGCGTTGGTGGTGCAAAGGTGCAATCCGGCTTCATGAATGAAACCTTGGAGCTCGTCAAGCTGCCAACCTGCACATGTTTCCGGCCATTCGAAGTGAACCCGACCATGATTCCGCAGAACGATCCTTGCAGCAAGAATGAAAACTCTCACCAACCTTCTGGACTCATCTTGCTTGCACGTGAGTCTGGTGCGGGACTTTGGACCAAGGCGCCAACTATTCAGCCGATTCCAATGGCTCCAAGGTAAGCAAGGAAGTGAACCCCACAGGTCTACACCTTCACTCTCCGCGAGTTGCTGCAACAACTGGTTGACATTATTCGTGTCAAGCATGCTTGCATGCTCATGTGCAAGGCGGACGTACGAGAGTCCGAGAGACTCGCCAACAACACTCAAGTTGGAACTGGGCGTACGGCAGAATTCGTAGAACCTTCCATAACCTGACAACTTGTCTTGACTGATAGAACACCCCCCTGATTCCGAACTTGTATCCCGGCGCGTTACCGCTGCACGGGCTGCATTCAGCGGGGCAGCAGTTCCTGCGGCCGCCGTTGTAGCCTCCGGTTTCACGGATGCAGCAGGGACAGGGTCTTTGAGGAAGAACACGGTTTTACCAGTCCACATTGCAGTCATGGGTTTGGTCCCGTCTTCGGCATGCCAATCCTCGCTTATCACTTCTTGCTTCTCACCAGTTTCGTAGGTGAGGAACGTTTCTCTGTGAGGTAGGAGGTTTTCAGGCGGAACTGGGATACCTTTAACCTTTTTAGGCGTAAACAAGTGCTTCCTTTGCTGCACATGATACCTAGTCAGTGTCTCGCCCTCTAACACCCACGAGTCATGGTTGCGGTCCACTCCATCTGGAAATTCATGCAGTTTCTCGGCCAACAAAGTAGCGAATCTATCCCGACATTCCTTAGAATGCTCAACTGGCAATCCTTCGCAAGCGTTGCATTCAGGAGTGGGCCCGTGCTTAAGAACACGTGCTTCGGTGATTCGGAAATTACCTGTCAAGGCTTTACTCTCAGCTGGGTGTTCTGGGATGGTGAGGCTCATGACTCTCCCCTCGATGGTTTCATCTACGGGGTAGTCCTCAGGATCCAGGGTCATCTCTTGGAGGTTTAACCTGAGTTCACCCTTGTCTTTTAGTTCCGCTAGTGGATAGCGGACCTCATCCTGATAGACAGTCATGGCCGTTTGAGGGGTTACCTCAACCTTTCCCAGCAACAGGTCTTTGACCTGCTCCAGCGAAAGAACTTTGTAGGCTTTCTTAAAACCACATCCCGGCTCAACCCTCCAACCAACAAAGATCCCGGCTACAGTCTTTAACTCAACCTTCTTAGTGACTTTGGCTTGGGGCCTAAAGTACACCAAGGAACCGAAAGGGAACTTGTTTCCAGAGAACGGTGCGCCATGCAATGCCTCCCAAGGTTCTCCAAGGGATAACGCGGTTGCTGCGTACTGGACGGCAAGTGGCCATAAGCTCTTAACTTGACCAGCCTGGCACAAAGCACATCGGGAAACGTCCTCTAAGGTCCGAATCCTTCTATTGATGATTGAAGTGTGTCGGTATGGAATTGTCGTAGGGTGGACGAGCTTTAGCTCATCCGCTGCAGCCTCAAGCTCAAGCGAATTATCGCTGTGAAGCTCAACGGCATTGCGACGACCAATGAAGTGGCGCAAGGCTTTAGCGCTGTCGCCACTCGACTTTGAACGTGAAGGGTACGCCAACATGAACCCCGTGTGGTCATCAACAGCTACGAGAAAAACTCTCTCCCCATGCAAACCAAACAGGTTCCTGTCCATACGGCCTTTGGCGACGATTACATGGTCAACATGCAGGCGGTCACCAAATGACTCACTTGCTTCACCGTCCGTCAAAGAATGTTCAATCGGAAGTGCACGTGCTGGCAACGCATCTTGCTTGGAGCGCATGCATGTTTTGCAAAACTTGTTCTTAGGAATGTGCGTTAGCTGGTGCTCAACACTCCTTGCAATCTCCTTTAGCCTTTCATCTTTTGTACGCGCATCGTCCTCTTCCACCTCTACTGCTTCCTCTCCTGGCGCGTCAACCGCTGCACAGGGAGGTTCAGGATCCGAAGCCGCTGAGGCCGGTTCGGGTGAATCTGCGGACGCAGGCATGTGGGAGATGCGAATGATTTCCTTAAAGATAGGGACATTCTGGTGGAGCTCATCAGCATAGCGGCGGTTGGCAGTTGGGCAATGCACGCGCAACGAATCAGTGTCCTCTACGAAGAAAGGCTTGGCTTGACCTGACCCATCAGGCAACCACAGGAACGCCTTTCCCTTAGAGTTGACTTGGTCTCCAATGCACATTGCCCAAGGACTCCCCTCTAACAAGTACACTTCATCATTTGTGACCAAATCACCCTGAACTTTCACTGAATCTGTTGACGGCCTGTCCCCACCACCTGTTGAGAACAGCACTGGATTTCCAGTGGCAGCGATATTATCGCTCAGACTCGGCTCATTTTGCACATCAGTTAGCGAACCAATGTACCTTCCAGCGCCTGTATCCCCCAACCAGCTAACCGTGGCTGTCCCATTACCGTGGGAAACGAACTGCGGATGGCATGGAACGGAGGGTGCAGAAAGGGTAGCCGTCATCAAGGCCAACATTCGAGTGCCAAGCGACCTCCCAAACAAAGCGGATTTGGCAACTTTCCTGCAACTGCTTAGCCCATTCCCAACCTTACTTGCACCGCCCGGCTCAGGCGCACAATTCACTGCACGGTCACCCTGGGCATGGCCAACGGTAGATGCAACGATTGCACACGCGGCTGAAGCTTTTGAAGGCGTGCTGGACTTGGCCTTCGCTTTGGCACCAGTTTTGGGATTAGGGTGAGGGTTGTTGGCGTCATGGAGGTACGGGCAGTTGTTCCTAAAGCATGTGCCAGTAGGAAAGAAAAGACATGGCGTTTTCGCCTTCTCTTCCTTAGACATAGGTGCCTTGGCCTTTGGCTCCGATGACTTGCCCTCTCCTTTACCCTTCGGATTTGCCTTAGGCGCTGGTGCAATGGGCGTTGCAGGGGTTGCCTTTGGATTCGGTTTGTCGGGCTTCTCCGGCTTGCTCGGCTTGTTGGGCTTAGCAGGCTTTTCAGGCTTATCCTCAACCTTTGCTGCGGCACCTGAAGCCTTTGCAGACAAACTAGCAGTAATAGACGCGTGATTGCTGTCGTGATGGGCCTCATCAATGACTTCAGCGAGCTTGTGGTACAACCACTTGAATGAGCGCCTTGACGAACCAACTGATGCTGATCGGAACTTGTCAATCTGAATTTGGAGCTTTGGGACGTTCTTGACTTGCTCATACAGGAATGAGCGCATTGCACTCTCTGAAGGCATCTCGTCCTCTTCTAAAGCACCCAAAACATAATCAACCCGATTCTTAAACTCCTCGAGCTGAGCAGTTGAAGATCCCGCAAGTTTGATTCCCAGAAGGTGCTGTTGCGTCAGGGTTGTTCCACGATCCTTCTGAAGCTTGAAGCGCTTGACGATAGTATGCAATAGCACTCGGCCTTTCGGCTGAAATCCCCGTTTTAGCGCCTTCTCCTGAATCGACTGAAACTCCAACGCAAACTGAGAACCCTTTGCCTGCTCAATCAACTTGGCTGCAAGAACCCTGTCAAGCACTGGGAACGATGAAGACTTGTTGAGGTCTGCAGCCGAGCATTCCTCTGCCTCCTTTAGCCATGCATGTAGCCCAGCTTCTGAACCCTTGCAGAATTGGGCAGCGCTAGCCATTAGCTGATTACGGAAGCTTCGAAGATCCGCTGCTGATTTGGGAAAGTGAGTGATCTTGATTTTGTCGTAATGCTTCGTTCTCATTGTTTGCTTCTCAGCCTCATAAGGATCCGCATGACTCGCAACGGGTTTTCTAGGTTGGCTAAAGTCCTCAACAAGCTCCTCTGAGTCTGAACTGCTGCTCGAAGTGCGACCTTTGATGGATGCTGCACTCGAGCTTGAGCTCTTGTTGCCCTTATGTGCAGGAGAGGAAAGTGACTGGACTTTCTCCTGAAGGATGCTAACGGCACCTATCAATTGCTGCAGGGTCTCCTCTGGGACCTGGGCGGAGCTGCTGGAAGACTGCTTCGGTGGGGGTCCCGGCGGAATCTCGGGTTTTCCCTGAGAAACGGCCAATTCGGCCGAAGGGTTCTGGAGCCCTTCTTGCGCAACCACTTCACGCGGAACCCTTCCCTGAAAATCCAGCGAGCTCTCAAGGTACAAGGACTCATCAAAAGTCTTGGCCAACCTTGAAAACACATCACCCCGTGGCACAGTAGGCATCTGGACTGTGCGCGCCGGCGCGTTAACCGCTGCACGGCCGCTGGGCGAAAGCTCGGGGGAGCCTTGCGCTTGCCAGGCTTTAATGTGCTGAAGCTCTTGGCTCAGGGATTGGATCGTTTCAGACATTTGGGCAAACTTGGCATCCGCTCGATGTTGATAGCTTTGAGCTTCCTGCTGCAGGGAGTTTACTAACCTTTCGGCAGTGGCCCTGCGCAAAGTCTCCTGCTCAAGTCGTATACCCAATTCCCTAAGTTGACCCTCATATTGCAACCTTTGGTGCTCAAGTTGGGCAATGGCTTCGGAAGTTATGGAGTTTCTGTCATGCTCGTGCCTTGCCTGGACCTCCCCTAACACATTTAAGTGTCTGCGTTCGGCTTCCGATGCAACCTCATGCACAACACCTATCACCTGTTCTGGCGTGGCGCCCACATGCAAGGATCTGGCATCCACATTGGTCTGGGAGTAATGCGGTGACTGCGCTCCCAAGGCTGGGGTTGCTGTGTCAAGGGAGGGACCTAAGTTCCTAGGCCTATTTGCCCTTAACAAAGGAACCCTTTCAACCGAGGATCGGGTATTGGAAGTTACTGTCTCAGTACTGGGGCTTATGGCAGGGGCACTTCCAGTCCTGAGGCTGGGCACTACTGCCATACCTGGTGTTTGATTTGGACTCCTACTCCTCACCCTCCCCCTAGCAGAACCACTGGAACTACTAGTCAAGATCGGTGGTGTGGACTCCATTTCTCACTGACACAGCAAATCGTCGATGACACCCGTGTAGCTGCTCAAAGGCTTCTGCCTGGACACCTCAGAAATTGGCTGACCCCACTGGCGAAACTCCTTAATGATCTCTTCCGCGTCGTCAAAGTGGTGTTTCAGCTGAAGGTCCGCAAAATAATGGCTTTTCCCTCGCCAGCCTGTCTTCTTTGTCACGACCAGGGCGCAAGTAAAAAGGTTGCAGACGCCCGAGCGTAGCAAGTCCTCAACGTATGCGTCGCAAGATCTTGCACCAACAAAGCTGAGAAGTACGGACTTGTAGCCCTTGCTGGTGAGTGTTGCCAAAAACTGAAGGTTTTCCACCGGGATCACGGTGCGCTCAGTTCCAGGAATATCACCACGACTTGCGTTCTTTTGTGGCACAGAGAGGGTACGATAATAATCCACTGACACAGCCCCAGCAATGAAGGCTCTAAAGTCTCGGACTTGCTGATCGTCCCAATGGCTGCCTTCACCTTGGATATCTCCCCCAGAAAAAATCAACCGATCTTTGTCCCCTGCAAAATTGCAGACGTCACGAAGCGGAAGTACCCCAAAAACTTCTCCCGGCGGCTCCAAATCAAGAAGCGATCGTACCTGGGTAAATGCAACTTGGAAGCGCTCCGGTTCGCTTTCGGCCTCCACAGGAGGCGCGAGAGCCGCTGCACTCGCTGAGGAGGCCGAGGAGCGAACCGAAGCGGCTCCTACTCCTGCAGTTTCCTCCTCGTCCTCTTGGAGATCAACCAACAATGGCACGTTAAGCCTTGCTAGCTCTTGAGCAATCCTCGCTTCTCGGCGGATTTTGCGCCTGTTTGCTTTACCTCCTCTGGGCCGATGTGTGGCGCTCCTCGGCGGTGGTCCAGGAGGCTCCTGTGGTAGCATCCACTGGCCTGCTCCAACAAAATGTCTGGCAGGGAATATGTAATGCCAATAGCGACACGCTTTCAAATGCTCAGAGAAAACGAAGAGCGGACGAAATGGCAGATATATGGATTGTTCCTACACTTAAGGAACGCGTCAGAGCACTACGGCTGATAACCCAAAGATTCCGTTAGAATCAGTTTTAGCCGTGCTTATTGAAGCAATCAAGACAAAGGAAACCCCAACTCACAAGGGCACCTTTTTTATCTTGAGCCAAATGTTGTAGTTAGCATGCACATCTGTACAAGTGCATGCCATCCTACCGTGTGTCCCTGGTGATTTCTGCTAATTATTTAGGCTTCTAGATTAGGAGTTTAGGATTTGGGGGTTCCAGGTTAGGGGTGTCGGGTGTTAGAGTGCAGGGTTTTCGGGTGTAGGGCTTGGGTTTACTTTGGGCTTAGGTCCTGAATGGATTAGGAGTTAGGGTTTCGGGTGTGGGCATTCATGTTTCTTCGGAATTTCTCGGAGTTTCTCTTCCGAGCTCCGGCACTGCATCAAGGCCCCCCCCCCGTCAACCCTATGCTGTACGACCCTTTAGGGTTTAGGGTTTATAAACCACGACATAAAATGCTAAAGCCCCACCTAAACCCTCAACGACCGTGCGTGCTCCTTAAACGAAGCCCTTCGGAGCACAAGCAGCCTTCGGGGAAAGAGCCCAAAGTCCACACCCAAGGTCAGCTAAGAAGAACCTTCTGAAACCCCTACGAGGCTCTGGTAAAGACTCCTCACACATAGATGCGCATATATATATATATATATATATATATGACCGATAAACCCCCCTCATGACCTAAAACCCATAAAGCCCGTGCCAGAATTGGAGGAAACCCTACACAGCCCTTATTATGAGAGCAGAAAACAAAAAGACCTTTACAAAAAACGCCTGAAAATTCTATGGTGCCCGAGGTCCTGCAGGAACCGCACGAGGCTGGGCAGCCGGTCGGCCCCCGTGAGTCCCGACTCGAAGGGAAAGGCCTGCCCGGAGACTACTGCAAAGGCTTTATAAAGGATTGAAGAAAGTGTTTACTTGGAGGGTCGGGGGACTAGGTAGGTAGCAAGTAGACTGATAAGCACCCTAAAAGGGACCCTAATTGGGGTTATGGTACTTATAAGTCCTCAAAATGGCCAGTTACTAAGTCCCCCGACCCTCCAAGTAAGGTTGCTCTGTGGGGCTCTACTGTTCTATCGGTTCTGTAGGGGGTTTATAGCATGTCAGAAGGGTTAAAAGGTCTGCTCCAAGGTCTAGACCCAAGAGTAACCTAGGAATAAGAAGGGTGCCCTTTTTGGTTTAAAGGGGGTTATAAGGGAACCTGAACCCTAAAAAAGGGAATAAGGGCCTACTCTGGGTCCTAGTCAAAGGGTTAAAAGGTCTGCTTCAAGGTATAGGTCTCATGGTTCAGGGCTTTTAAGGTCCGGCTTGTGGGGTCTCCGGTTCAGAGGCTGAGAGCTTCGCCCGATGTCGCATAAGGTCTGAAGTCATATCACTGGCCGTAGTTCTCAGTGGAATAGCACGAGGGGACTGATTAATGTGTAATCTATTTCCGTATAGTCCCGGAACCCATCTCCTAAACCCTAAAACCCCCGGAACCCTAAAGCCTGAAATGGCATTGGGTACAGGCTCAATCATCACTGCGCAAAAACCAGCGAGCCCAACAGAACTCGGCGTATAGGGTCCCTATAGTAAGTATAGAGTAATGCAGGTTCCTCAGTTGAGGGGTAGGGGGCTCTCAGGGGGCGGCCATGGCTCATATCAGGACACTACTTGGCAACTTCTGACAGCTTAGGGTCCATTTAGATGGAATCCCTTCTTTTCTCAAACTCCCAAGTGCCTCCCTCTTAACCCTGAACTCTAAACCTTAAACCCCAAAACCTGAACCCAAATTCCTCGAAGCCCTGAACCCCAAAGCCCAAAACCTTAGCCAAAATTCCTCTCAGCCCTAAACCCTAACCCTAAACCCCAAACCCCTAAAACCCTGGACCCTAAACCCCGAAATTCCTGTACTACTATTTGCTTAAGAAACACCCAAAAAAATAATAATCCCTATATTACCCCCATAAGGAATATACTTTTTATTTTTTGGGGGTTCTTAAGCAAATAGTAGTTTAAACCCAGGCTCCAGGAGGCATGGAAGCATCCGACGATGCGCTGCCGCCGCTGCGATGCCGGCGCGGTGGAGGGCCAACCTTGGGCCCAGGAACACGAGGATTGAGGGCTTCGGTTTTGGGGTTAAAGGGTTCAGGGTTTAAAGGGTTCAGGGTTTAAAGGGTTTAGAGTTTAAAGGGTTTAGGGCTCAAAGGGTTTAGGGTTTAAAGGGTTTAGGGTTTAAAGGGTTTAAAGGGTTTAAAGGGTTTATATAAAGGGTTTCGAGTTTAAAGGGTTTAGGGTTTAAAGGGTTCAGGGTTTGAAGGGTTCAGGGTTTAAAGGGTTCAAGGTATAAAGGGTTTAGGGTTTAAAGGGTTTAGGGTTTCAAGGCAGGGTTTAAAGGGCTCGGAGTTTAAAGGGTTTAGGGTTTAAAGGGTTTAAGGTTTAAAGGGTTTAGGGTTTAAAGGGCTCAGGGTTCAGGGTTGAGGGTTTATGGCTCTAAGTGTTCACGGTCGAGGGTTTAGGGTTTATGGCTTAGGGTTGAGGGTTTAGGGCTCTAAGGGTTTTAGGCTTTGGGGGTTCGAGGGTTTGACGGGTTGAAGCGGGGCCTCAATGATTAGAGCAGGGTGTTGGGGTGCATTGCCGCATATATTTATTTATGCGTGGGGGATTGATCTCGACTAGGTTGCTGCTCTCCCCACCAGAGCTGTAATGAATGTAGGTGTGGCTGGCTTGCACTCTCCACAGACTGGATCCTGTCTCTCTCCCACTTCCACACGTGCAATCCTATGCAGGCAGAACCGGCGGCCGTTCCTTTTGCACTCACTGCCGGCGGCGGTTCGTCTGTGCAACGGGATAGCTCTGATTGCTCAGGATAGAAGACACTTATAGCACTTAGCTATGGGCATTGACTTGAGCCAAACGTTGCGTGGGCGGTCACATAGAAAGGTAAAGATGAGGGACGCGTAGCGTGCCCCCTTAGAGTCGAGGGACGCGTAGCGTGCCCCCTTCTCTTGCACTTTACACGGTCTTGCTCACAGCTCTTATAGTGACACCTTAGAACTTGACAAGGCATCGCAGTCCGTTCGCACCCCCCATGAGTTGCGTCTCCGACGCTGCTCACCCGGAAGATGGCACGATAGGACAACAGAAAATGTTCCGCCGCAACGTTGACATTGAAAATCAGAGCTTTGCATCCCAATTAGAAACGTTGTGACACTCATCTACGTCAGTAACGATCCCCTGAAATGGCAAACGAATCAGGCGTCACCGAAGAAAGAAGCATTCGCGATGGCATTCCATGGGCGAAGCTCAGAGGTCACGAACTGATAGGCGAGGAAGACCAAGCGTTGATTCATCTCCATCTTCGCGTGGTCGCAGGATCGCGGTCCCAGGGCCGGAGGTTTTCCTCTGGATACTGTTCCCTTTGCTTTCCTTTGTCCTTGCCTTTGTTTCGGCCTTTGCCGGCGGTGTAGTCATAGTAGGTGTTGGCGTTCCAGCCTCCATGCTGTTCACCTCCGGTTCTCTCACGCCCTTTTGAAGGTCCCTTGGCCGAAGAAGCGCTTGCACGTTCCTCCGTTGTGACAGGCGTGTCCAGGATGGAAGTACCACCTGGAGGGAGATAGTCAGCGGCCGAAATGTGGTGTAGGGCTTCAGTACGCTTGGTCGTCGGGTTTTGCTGTCTCTCAGCCTTGGATCTGTTCAATCTGTCCATGAAATGCGCAGGCATTTGCACATTGTGGTCCACCAGCAATCCAATGGTCTGGACTGAATGATCAGCATGAGTCAGCAGGATACCGACGGGGTCGATGTACAAGAAGTCCACCGGTCCAGTTGGCGTTGGTCGTAGCACTGAGAATTGTTGGTGTCCTGTCACCATCGGAATCACCTCGCACAGGACGTTCAGGCAACAAAAGTGCATAGCCTTCACATCTTCATCCCTGTTGCTCTTCAAGTACGTAGTAGGGTTGAAGTTGTCCCTGCCAATCCCCATCATGTTGGCTCCCCGCGTAAGCAAAGAAAGCATCTGATTCGTCCGGAAGCGCTTCAAAGTGTAAGTCCCGTTGGGATCATACTGCTTGAGGTTCTCAGGTTCCTTGGCAAAGCGAATGATCTCCTCATCAGTCACATCCCTGCTCACACCAGTCTCTCTGTCCACTACAGCCAATGATCCCCACTTTCCAAGCACATCATAACGTTGGCCAAGTGCGAAATTCTCCTTCATCTGAAACAACGGCATAGTAGCCCACTTCGCGAAGCCTGACCAAGCCTTGTAGATGGTCCTGCATACCACGAAAGCCATATACGAAAGAGCGACCATGTTGGCGTCAATGCAATGGGCATTTCGCTTCCCTGAGTAGTAGGATGGTTGCATGGCGGTACGTGCGAGTTGTAGCTCAGGATCGATGTTCAAAGACTGGCCGGTAATGAAGACAGGACGGCGTTCCTGTGCAACTGCATCTGGTACTGCGTCATCAAAGTCCTCTCCTGGCTCTATGTCCATTTCTTCATCAGGTTCCTGTTCTGGATCGTCCTCCGCGATGACAGATGGTTCTGGGATTTCCTCAGGTTCCGCAACGGTCTCTACCTCCATGGCTTCCTGCTCCTCTTCGGGCGCCTCAGGCACTGCTGCTGCCGCGGCTTCCATTGTCTGAGCAATGAAGTCACTGGGGATCTCCGTAGGAGTCTCCCGTTGTGGAGAACCTTGGTAATATCCGCTAGAAACGAATTGTGACCAGCAAGACGTGCATCGGGAGAAGCATGCTGGAACGATGTTGTAGCATGCCGGGCACACCCTCATTCTCCTTCCATCCTCGTCTCTGCGTAGGTCTTCGGGTCGCCAATTCTTGATGACAAACTTGATCCCTTTGTCCATGTA